ACGCTTCTGCTCCAAGAACACGTTCAACACCGGGATCAACAGAGTAGTCTAAAATTGACAACTCAATGTACACAGATCAAAAATGGGCAAATGGACAAAAGGTAAAACCTCACCAAAAGAGTTTATATAATCTGCTAAGAGTTGACCAAGGTATTTGCAAGCGGTGATTTGAGCTTGCTCGCTCAGCATTGTTCCTACACTCGCTCGCAGAATGTAAGAAACGCATCTGCGGAGAAAGATCGCTTCAGCTGCTTGAGCAGGAGAGCTGAATTATAGGAAAGTAAAAGATGATTAAGAAAACCAACTCAAATTTCTTCGGTTCTGTACATGGTCCAGGCTTGAGAAAAGATAAACGTAGAAATTTGCACTGACTTACTACTATAAAGACATATCTCCACGGCGCAAGAAAGAGCTTTAATGTGATTTTATTTGAAATTTATGATGGTTGTGGAAGATTTGCAAATAAAACCGCACAAAAATTGTCATAATAAGAATCGCGCACAAGGAAACGGAAATAAATTTACACAGAACAATAAGAACAGTATACGTAAAGCGCAAAAAGTATCAAAAATAAACAAATTGGGCGGGAATTAACGATGAAAGCTACTTACCTAGTATAGGCGAGGCTACCACATTTCGCAGCTAGCTCCAACAAATGTCGGCAAACCATGGCCAGATTTCTTTCCAACCAGGTAGCACCCATCTCGCGCATGAGTTCCACATAACCCTGAACACAGAGTAGGAGTAATGATCAATTCTTAGGAAACAAATTGCTGACCATAGCAATGCCTGCTCGGACATCCTTCTGACCACCAACAGTGGCAGTGCTGTGACTTGAGCCACCTTTGAGGAAACCTCCTATGCCACCGCGCAAGAAACCTCCTGCGAGGAGGTGCAGGGCATCCTCCAACGGGATTGGCCGTATAGGTGCCATACGTGCATTTGCTGCGGCTTTGCCATATGCTAGAAAATAATATTTATCATGAAGTAGATCGTACAATTTGCATGCCCAGCGGGTTCTCAGACAATTCACCGGAACTTCCGCAGGACAAGCTAG